AGAGCCTTTTTTTTTTGCATGTCAGTGTTCAGTTGTTCCAGCACCATTTGTTGAACCTAGCATTTTTTCCTAAATGTGAAAATATTAGATTCGAACTTAACTTTTATTCAATTTCAAAATAAAAGCAGTACTTCAGCAAAATTAGGTAAAATAACAAGGACTGATAATAATATCTATGCTATATGACCGTGAGTTAATGTTTGTATAAATATGTTACAAACTATAAAGTACTATGCATATATTGCTGCTACTGTTATTTTTAGTATCACTCAGCTCTTGCTCTCAGGTAGCCCCCAGCCTAGTAGTAGTAGTATATTATGCTCAGGTATTTTTTTTTTAAGTGAGAGGCAGAATGGTGTGCTTTCTAGAAAGAACCCCAAAATGGAAGTCAGAAACTCTGGGGTAGAGTACTACATCTGCCTCTTAACTGTGTGACCTGGGCCAAGTCACTTGACCTCTGTGTGAAATGAAGGGGTTGGACTTTTGGCATTTAAGGAACTTTCTCACCCTAACATTCTGGGACTCTGTTTGGTATGACGTAGGACGAGATTCTGTCACAATGATTCACATTTTTCTCAGCAACAATATTAGACTTTTTTTAAAAAGGAACTGAAGCCCAAGGAAGTAATAGAAATAAGATGTATATGAAAGTTCCAACTGCTGAGACAATTGATCTTGGAAAGAATAGTTCTATTTGTCCCATTTTTGCTAACATAAACAAGTTTCACCAAACCAAATAGCTAAGGTATTAATTTAATAAGAAAATATATCATTCAGGTTCCCTAAGTATAATGAATAAACTGTCAAGGTGATTGACCTTCCTTTTCTAACATAGACAAAGTCAGGCCAGACCTCTTAACTGAGAATGCTCCTCCTCTCCCAAGGAGTCCCAAAGGGTAGGTTTCTCTGTTGATTTAGAGAGTCAATAATTCAGTAAAGTCCCAGGTAAATGGCAGAACACAAGCTAAGATTGGGTTTTTGTATTCGTATTTTATAAACATTTCAGGGTTGTTTTTTTTTTCCTGACCCTTGATCTTTTGCCATTCTTAAAGTGAAGATTTTATATCTTGGAAGCTTGGTTAGAAACAACCTCAGGGTCATCTCATCCAACTTTTTTCTCTGGGTGGAGCCTGCTCTTAGCCACACCCCTGGCTGAATATTCTAGCAGTGCAACATATGGATTCCAAAACTGGATTCACATCCTGGCTCTGTCTTGAATAGCTTTAAGACCTTGGGCAAGTTACTTAATGTGTTCCATGGATCAGTTTTCTCATCTGTAAAATGGGAATAATAATTGTATCTACCTCAGGAGGTTATTATGCAAATTAAATTATTTTATAAAGTGCTTGGAATATGCCTGGTACAAAATAAATGCTAACTATATGTTAGCCGTTACTGTTATCTTCATGATCTTCTCAAATATGCCCTTATTTGAATGCTTCTAGGGGCAAGAGAGAATGCACTCACTGTCCCCACCCCTCCCTCCTCCTCCATTGCCACAAGGCAGCCCACTGACATGTTAGCCAGAAGCGTTCTGTTTAGCATGAGCTTTGGAGTCAGACAGACTTGAGTGTGAAATCTTATTCTATCTGCACCTTGATATGATAACCCATGGTATCTTCAGCTATAAAATGGCAGCAGTAATACCTACCTCATTTGGCTTTTTTGAGGACTAGTTAGAGTACTATATATATATGAAGTACTTAGCATGATTCCAGCTACATGGTAGGTACTCAATAAATGATAGTTGCTGCTATGATGATGGTTAGGAAGAACAAGAAGAAAACAGAATAGAAGGAGGAAGAAGGAAGTAGCACAGCCGCACACGAGCAGCTTCAAGAGTCCTTTCTGGCCAGCTGAATTCTGCGTTCCTGTGATCTCACCGGTCCCAGCCCTGCCCACTGGCGCTGCACGTAACATGTCTGATCTGCTTGGCGGTCCTTCAGCTACCCCTTTCCCTATAGCAGCAGGCCACCACCACCACTTCTCAGTTCCCTCTTGAACGGGACCCAGAGCATGGCATGATGGTTCCACAGCACGGCCACCTGTCTTGCAGGGGAGAACCTCATCCCCCTAGGTTCCCCTACAGCCTTTTTGTCCATGCAGGCAAAAAAAGAATGGAAGCAGAGGTTGTCCTTGTTCATTCTGAAATTTCTGTCTAAAATGACCTCCGAAGAAGAAAACAATTGCTTCTGATCTGGGGTACCAGAAGGAACAGCCCCCAAACAGCCACGTTTGCTGTGAAGTAGCTCAGCATGGCCTCACTGAAACTATCCAAGGGGGTCTCTAGTTATTGAGGCATTAGCCTAGCAGGGCAGCAGGGCAGAAATAAGAAAGGCAGCCCGGTACAGACCTGCACTCCAGGAGGCTTCAGGAAAAGAGCTCCAGCTGTGAAGTGGGACCAGGACCCCTCTCCAAGGCAACATTCCAGCCAGTAATGGCTACCACTCACTGAGCATGTACTGGCTTGAGCACTGTACCAGAAGCTTTACCAACACTCCATTTAACCATCACACCAACCTATGAACGAGAAACTGATTATTCTCATCTTAGAGATGGAGAAACCTAGGCTCTTCTATAGAACTTCAAGGTCTATAGGTAGTAAAGTGAGAACAGGGATTTGAATCTAAGTTTGCTTCAGTCTTTTTAACCATTATACTGTATAGACAGACCCCTACTAACCACGTGGCCTTAAACAAGTGGCAGCCACTTTGAGCCTCAATTTTGCCACCTCTACCTACCTTGCATGGTTGTTACAGGAATTAAATGAAATAACATGAAGTCCCTGGCATGTAATAGGTGTTCAAAAAACTTTAGTTTCCTCCTTTTCAAGTCCCAGCTGTCTCACCCAAAGTGACAGAGAAAATCACTTAACTTTCCTGGGACACAGTTTTCTGAACCTCTAACCCTGGATGTTGACAGCTTAGGCAGGGTGCAGTTTGGGCCCGAGGCTCCAGCCTCCAGCCTCCCTGCCTGTTTTGCTTCATAGCATTTCTGCTGGTGTGCATAGGCTCTGGCACTATTATGATTATGGTTTCTCCCAACAAACATCATATTTACAAACCACAAATAACAAAGCACAAGATGCCGGAAGAGCTCTGGCATGTTAATTAAGAACAATAGCGGAAGCAGCTGGGCAGAAAATACCAACGAGTCTGAAGCAGAGTCTCTGTTGACAAGAGACAGTGCAATATTATACATTAATTGGGGATGTGGGTAAACATTTGCCGCAGCTTGCCCCCCAGTGCATTGGAAGACAGACAGCAGGCTGGGCCCTCCCCACCACCTTGCCTGCCCATCTGCCCAGAACCCAAGAGATACCAGTACAGCCACTTTGCTCTGGGTTCCGTGTAAGCAGAGAGGATTCTGGTGGTTGATGTGTCTCCTTAATGACCCCCCTGGGCCTACCAGGTTTCCATCTGGATACAGTCGAAGATGAAGATAGTGTTCCTCCTTCAGCTCTCCAGCCTGCTTGTGACACTAGGCTCCCAGGGCCCTCATCCCCCTTGAGTAGAAGACAGTGGAGCCATCTCATTAGGTGTGGCTTGAGTTGAGCAGAGGACAAGATTGCCAGCCTCAGGTGCTGTATTCTCTGCGGACCACAGGCCCAGAGTCCCTGTATCTCACATAGCAGACTACCCAGCCTCCCATCACACACACTCAGACCTGTCCATTTATCTTTGTGTCTGTCCATCCTTAGTTATTCACATACACGGTAGCCATCATTGAACACCTGCTCTGTGCTGGACACTGCTAATTGTATATTTTTTTCTCATTTAATCCTCACATCAGTCCTGCATGGTTGATATTAACTCCAAAGCCAGAAAGCTAATAGCCAACACAGCTATGATTTAAACCGGAATCTTTTTTTTTTTAAGATTTTATTTATTTATTTGAGAGGGACAGCAGGGGTAGGGGGGGACAGAGAGAGAGAGAGAGAGCATGAGCAGGGGGAGGGGGCAGAGGCAGAGGGAGAAGCAGACTCCCTGCCGAGCAGGGAGCCTAACGCGGAGCTCGACCCCGGGACCATGACCTGGGCCGAAGGCAGATGCCTAACCGATTGAGGCACCCAGGCACCCCTTAAACCGGAATCTTTCTGGTTCCAAAGCCCACTGTCACTTCCACTAAACTAGTATTTCTCAACTTTTTAAAATTCATACTCCCTGCTGATAAATAGGAAAACTGTTTCTTTCTCTCACTCTCAGATTCATAAATCCTCCATCCCTGCCCCTGGCCTAGGAGTCATAAATCTACTTTAGGATTCCTATATGACTAGCATTTCCCAACTGAGCCAAGATTTGGTCTAGCTTTACTCCCTATAGTTCATACTATTAAATAATGATTTTTTTTATTTCTAAAATAGAAAGTCTTATTATGGCATTGACTATTTTTTCAAACTAAATATCCTCCCCCTCCACCAACAAGGAGATTGTGATACGCCTTCCTAGGGAGACTTTTCCTCAGAGGAGGATATTCATCTTTGGGCATGGGAGAGTAGGCATTGTTCAGTTTACTACAGGAAGGTTTAGCCAGAAAATCAGCCCCAAGGACTTAGCTCTTTTCCTACCAAGCAGAAAAGTGCCCCCATGCTGTCAGGAGTTAATGAAGCAGAGGTCCCCAGAATGCCAATCAGTTGTTTAGCCAGTACCCTTTCCTAAGGGGCTTCCGTTCTGTGGGTCAAGCTGTGCTGTGCAGGAGGCACGGATCTCCCACCTGCCCAGGAAGAGGTCCAGGCTCCTGAAGCTGTGCCTGCCTGTGGTCACATGCTAGTTCTTCCACTAATCTATGAGCCGTGACCTCTCTGAGCCCTGGTGTCCTTGGTTCTAAGATGGAAATCGCACCACATACGTCCCAGGTTCATTGTGAGCATCTAATAAGATGATAGATTCGGACATGCTGAGGCCACTGCGTAGCAGGCTGAGAGCCAGCGTGCACAGGGAGGACCCGAACGCCATGAGGAGATTGTTCCAATCTTTTAAATGTGTTTTCTTTCTTTTTAGGTAACCCAGCTGGACCCAAATAAATCACTATTGGAGGTAAAGTTGTTCCCTCAAGAAACCCTTTTCCTTGAAGCAAAAGAGTAAACATGGCCCAGCAGTGGAACCAGCCTTCCTTGACAAGCCAGAGGCCTGCATCAAGAGAAGGGCTCCTCGCCAACCCACCTACACGCTCGTCTCACTCAACTCAATGTCACACTTCTGCCTCTTGCAAGATTGCTGGAAAAAAGTAATAATAAACATAGCTACTTAAAATTTCCCATCCACGAGTATATGTTCCCAATCCTCATAGAAAATTACAACTCTGCAGCCCTCCCTTATCCCCTTCACCTCACCCTTATTCAATGACTAATGCACTGTTCAAGTGTGAGTGACCACGAAGTAGAATTTTTACCTCTCCAGTGCCCACCGTTTCCCCACACTGTCTAGGACAGTTCTGTCTGCCCTGGGACACCAGGATGCCATGTATTTGATACGTCTCATTGAGCCAGGGCTCATACACCTCTGCCTTTTTATTTTCACAACTGGATTTCTACTTTGTCACCTAATTTTAAAAGGCATGGGGAAAAAAGTCAAATGGGACTTCTCAGCATGGAGATTAAACATTGTTGTAGGAAAAAAAGCATATCATTTTTGTTGGTACTTTCTGACTTATTTACTAAGATGTGAGGTTGTGTTTGAGGACTGCATTTGACATATATGCAAGATACTTATTTTAAACTGCAGCTGCCTTGGGTCTCCAGGTTCCATCTAGGAGGTATCTGCTCTTCCAGTGCAGCGTGGAAAACTGTTGAAGCACATTATGTGAATGTTGAGATAGTGTGAAGAGGACCAGTACCAGGACTTTGGTATCTGGCCCAGATGCAAGAAGCTGCTGTTTGCATTTGGGCAGTTTGCATTTGGGCAGTTCGAACCTCATAGATACCAGCTCCCACAGAGCTGGTCCATCAGTGTACACCGAACACAGTTCTCTCCTGCTTTTCTCTCCCTCTGCTCCATCATGTGTTGGAACCTTGTTACTTGGTATTTTAAGCACCTTGTCTATCACCAAAATCTGATCAGTCACCCCATGGACTCCGAGCCCCGCTATAAAACCTTGCTCCACTATTTCATTCTTTTAACGTTTCAGTATTAGATATTAGATTTGCATTTCAAATGAAAGATCTCATGGCTGAAAATTCTGATCTCATATATTTAAGAGAGCAAACTTGGGGGCTCAGCTCAGAAGACATGTGTTGCCTGAACCTACATATAATAATTTGGGAATGATTTAGTAAATATAGATTTTTGTTAATCTGTGGATTTGGGGTTTGAAGTTTAGTTCATGGAAGCACTGTTGATGCCTTCACAGCCAATGATTTCTTTTTAGTCTTGGAATGTTTCTCCATATCTGTTTTTATGTCACCTGTGGTCTCTATCCCAGGGTTTGGGATTCTCATTTTGACATTTTGTATTTGTCCAAAGTACAGTCTAAGTGCTGGGTTTTTCCCCTGGCCCAATTCAAGGGGTTCTCAGAAGACTCTAACCGAAGCCTAAGATATGGCTGGTCCTTTTCCCTCTGCCTGGAAGTGGATATTGGCCAGGAAAATTCCTCCTGTGTCTTTTCTCTGGTGCTCCGACCAGGGACCTCCCTGAACACTCTCTCGTAAGAGATGTGTTCCTAAAAGATAGTGCTACATCTGCTTAGAGTCAGGCCTTCTCTGCTCCAGAGGTCTCCCAGGCAGGCTGAAAGGAAAAGAGACCCACTATGGGGGGAATTCAGCTCTACTCCTACCTTCCTTTTTTTTTTTTTTTTTTGTCCACACCTACCTTCCTAACCTGGTGGACCCAAAGACAGTCATTTCCAATGCTACAGATGCACTAGGGCACCAATTCTTCTTTTTCCAGGTATACCTTAGCTGCCATGCAGAAGCTATAGCCCTTAACCCAGGCCATACTCAGGAACAGCAGCAAGAGTGTGGGTGGGAGTTGGAGAGACAGGACTCTGAATTTACTTTCATGGTTAACCTGTTCCATCTGATTTGGGTTTGGTTTCATCATATTGTTCTGCCCTGTCAGCTTCACTTCTGTATTCTAGTGATAGAGACTTTACTCTGAAACTGATTTCATAAAAGTTATTAAATGCTTCTTGAACGTGTATGAAGTTTACACACCCTTTTTCAACCCTGTCTTGAGAGATTCTTCTAGTTCAGTCTCATGAAATCCTATCCTATAGGCCCCCATTGCTGGGAAAGGCCTCAGCTAATTGTCACTGTTCACTCACATCATTCTGGTCTACTGAGCTCCAGAACCGGAAGCCAAAGCAGTTTTGGGCTTTTTCTTACAAGCACAACATTAAAGGGACTTGCATAAAGTTAGGTTCCAAGAAAAACATCAAGTAACTTGCTATCACAAGAGGAGAATTTCTGCTATCACAGAAATAGCAATGTCCTTTGGCAATTCTTCCTCCTGCCCTTAAACTTCCTTGGGCTTTACATCCCAGCTGCCAGATGCAGTGAGTCAATCAGAACATGGGCTCCGTGTTCTTCTGCCCAGCTGTTTACAGTGAAGTTCCAGGACTCCCTGTCATCCTCACTTCCATTCCAGCTCATTCCTCTGTGTTCCTTGGATTATCAGTTGTATGTTTGGAGCATTAGTTTGAAGATTTAAGGAAGTACTGACAATTTCCCACAGACCCTGAGAAGGTGTAGTTTGGAGAGGTTTCTGGTTGGAAATGTTGCCATGCTCTGGCACCACTAGCTTTACGGGACACACAGGTAGGTGTTCATCTCTGAATTAAGCATCCAAAGTCTGAATTGGATGAGAAGATCTTTTATGGAATCTTTCTTTTTTTAATGTAGGAGAATAGGATTTAGGCTTTTATAAATTTTATTTGGTGACATTAGAAACATAAGTTTGCATTTGCATTAAAATTGCTACTCCCAAAGCTACACATACTGACCTGAGTATGCTGGTCAAAGGGATGGGTTTTAAAGATGTTGCAGAGCTCTGACAGATTTCCCCAAAAGCACAGAAGTTCTTCATTTGGATAGGGGAGCGGGTCTTCATTGTCTCCATGAGCAGCATCACTGATGAACACACTTCCGCCATCCCTCCCAGCTCCCCATCCACCCAGTCCCGGGTCCCACAGATGGATGGGACGTGGAATCCTAAATTCAGTTCAGGAGTAATCACATACACGTCACACTTCACAATCTGTGTGACCCTTTCACCTGCATTATCTCATTTGATCTTTTTAAAAATTCTTGGAGGGAGATCTCTCTCTCTCTCCTTTCTTTTGCTCTCATTTCTCGTTCCCTCTCCTTTCTCTTCTTTCTGTCTCTCTCTCATTTCTCTTCTCTCTCACTCACTCACACACACACACACACACACAGACTTTAGTGTCTTCCAGTTTGAACCTTGGTTCTGCCACTTTATAGCTATGTGACCTTAAGGTGAGTAACCTCTCTGAACCTCAGCGTCCTGATAACATTCAGGTAGCATTTTGCAGTTTCCCACACCCTCTACACTCATCATCCCAGACCACTGCAGTGCGGGCTCAAAGGGCAGTGCTTGCCTGAGTCACACAGAATGTCAGGACAAGAGTCTGGACTCAAGCCCTAGGCTCTGATTTTCAGGTTCACAGCTCTTCTATAAAGAATCTCTAAATTTCATGTCCAAGAATGGGTCTTGGCATCCCCCACAATTGTGTATAAGAAGCTAAATGTAATTTTCTGGAAGGGAAAATCTGTATGCATCAGATTCTCAGTGGGCAATATTGATGCCAGAAAATTCAGAACCACCATTTACATCATGCAAACACCATCAGGCTATTTGGGAAGTTGAATCTGCCCATTCTTTTCATCAAGCCACATTTTTATCTAAATGAAAGCTGCAACCCCCAAAGGGGGGGAGGGTGGAGATAACAACAGTTGGGCTTCCTTGCCTTGAACCTCCCTCTGCATTCAGTGCTTCTCTCTCATCTCAAATAATCTGCTTTGGAAGATGACCCCTAACAACTGCCATGGCCTTACAGCTCCTCCCTGCTGTATTTTGAAAGTGTGGTCTGAAAGGAAATACCAATAAAAGAGACTTGCTCTCCAGTCTTCATTCTGTTAACGCTTAGTTTGCACACTGTTAGTTGTGGTTCTCAGTTTTGAGAGGTGATATAATGTGTGGCCGAGAGCATGGCCTCTGGAGCCACGTTGCCTGGGTCCAAGCCGCTCCTGCACTTACTAGTGATGTGCCCTCAGGAAGTCACTTCACCTTCTTGTGCCTCCGCATTGGGGCTATAAAATGGAAATGATTACAGTACTTGGTTGATAAGGTTGTGAAGATTAAGTGAACTAACATTTAACAGTTAACATGTAAAGCAGTTAGCTATCATCTGGTCTACAAACTCACACAGAATTACAAAAGGAAAGGAGAGTGGGTGATGATAATGACAAGTGGCAGTTGATGGGGGAGGACACACGAAATGTGAACAGCAGATGCAAGAAGTCCAAGAATACTGCTCTGGGGCCCTCCAGGGAAGGTTAAAGAGCCTTGCACAAAGTGTCACTGTTACTGGTGTCCAGAGGCTAAGCCTGGGGCATCATGGGAAGGAGGGGAGAGGAGACCTAACTTGCTGAGCACTTAGGATGTGCCCAGTACTGTGCTCAGAGCATTACATACATTACCTCATGTAACCCCACAACAACCCTGTCGAATGGGTGATCTTGACCCCATTTTGAAGCAACAGGCTCAAAGAGGCGAAGTGTGACTTGCCCGAGCTCCACAGCTAATAAAGAGCAGAACAGAGTTTGAGACCCAGACCTTTGACTCTAAAGCTCCTGCTGTTTATGTCAATGCAGTACCACCTTCAGGAAAAGTATGCCCTTTTACCAAAGCATTTCCAATAATCGTAATAATATTTTTTAACTGTTGGTGGATACAAAAATGGGTAAAGCCCCATTTCCATAGAGAATTCAGCTCTCCAAAATGACTCATTCCCCAAGGTGTCAGGGGCCAGGTTTTAAGCAATGCCTTTTATTTTTAAGCACGTGCAACATTTTAAGAAGGATCCTGCAGCTTCTACCTCTTGGACATCTCCAAAGTCCATTCCTTGCTCCTTCACCCATTATCCCATGGGTATTTCTTCCGTCAGACCTTTGTTGTCTCTCACCTGGGTTATAAAACCACATCCTAATTGATTTCCCTTTCTCCAGTCCTTCTCTTCGAGACCAGTCTCCACGAAGCTGCCAGAAAGAGCTTTCTAAAACCCCTGCCTCAATATGCCACACCCATGCCTTCATACCCTCAGAGGCTTACAATTGCCCTCCAAATAAAATCCAAACTCAGCTTGCATTTAAAACTCCTGCCATCTGGCCCCTACCTCCCTTCCCATCTACCTCCAGCCATGCCCTCAACACACATCCAGAGTCACCTGCAATCTTCTGAAAGCATCAGCTTTGTATCACCTCTGGCCTTGGACACTATTCCCTCTGTCGCCACCAGACTCCTGCCACCTCTCCATCCTTCACTTTCAGTTTAGACTTCATTTCCTCCAAAATGGTTGCCCTGACCACTGCTACAGCCTCCCCACACCCTCCAAGTTAGGCGAGAATCTTCGGCCCTGTGCTGCCCTTTCCGTACATAGCGCTGGACCACTCTGAATCGTAACTCTAAACTCGTATGTTCTTCCTGCCCCCATCCCAGACTGTGAGCCCTCCAAAGGGTCTAAGTCACTTCTTATCCTCAAGGCCTAGCAAAATGACTAGTACATAGGTAAGCACACAGGAAATTTTGACTTTGTTAACTGAGTTTCAACAAAGAAATGATGTCTGTGTGCAGGTGGTGACTTCATCTCTAACACCTTGCTCATCAGGGAACATTGTGAGGACAGAGATCAGGTCATAATCACCTGTTTATTTCAAGCCAGCCCAGGGTCAGCACGTTGCAGTCATGCACCCAGTGGTTACTGAAGCAGTTAGTTAATTGGAGCTGGAACAAAACCAGCTGGAGCTGCTGAGAAGAGACAAAGGGTAAAGGAATTCCTGTTGAGTACCCTGGTAAGCCCTGCACAGTGTCGCCCCCTAGCCATTCTCAGAAGTATTCCGCCAGGTCGCTACTGCTAATATCCTCATATTACAGTTAGGGGAACTGAGGCTCAGAGAAATGATGTCACTGTCCAGAGACACACAGCTAGTAGAGAGGAGCTGAGAATCCACTCTGGATCTGAGCCCGAAGCTCACACCTGCTCTGTTTCCCCTTATCCATGAGCCCCATCCCCGGCCCCTGCCCTGAGCTGCTTTAGTAGCTGTAACTTCTAAGCCACAGGTGAGAGTAGAATAAAAATCCGCACACACTTTCTAGGATACTGCACGCCCCTAGTTTTCTTCCACTCCTCTGAAAAATCCCCCTGTGTCTCCTCTGCAGAGTTTTCCTGCTCTGCTTGCCTGTGAAATGTCAGCAGCCCTGAATTCCTTCCTCTGCCCTCTGCTCTTCTCAAACTGTCCTTAGATAGGCAATTTGTGCTTCGAGACTCAGCTCAGATTTTGCCTAAGGTATAAACCCCACGAGGGTAAGGTCTGTGTCAATCTGATCTGTTGTTTTATCCTTCCACACAGACCTGGCACTGTATATAGTGCTTGATAAATATTGAACATTTATATCATGTTTATTGAATGCCAGGCACTAAGTACTTCACTCCTCACAACAACCCTGTGAAGTAGGAGCTATTAATATCCCCACTTCATTGGTGAGCAAACTGAGGCACAAGAGATTAGGTAATTTGCCCAAGGTCACACAGCTAGTAAACCAAGGAGCCAGGATTCAAACGCAGGTGTTTTGGCTCCAGAGTTCAGGCTATTACCACTTCACTCCACTACCTCTCCTCCAGAAAGCCTCATGGAATCCCCAGGGCCAGGTTAGGGGCCTCTTCTAATCCCTGTGTTTGCCCCTAGCTGAGCACTTATCCTATTATTGTGATTATTTGCTCAGAAGTCTCCCTCTGTGGACCGTGACAGGTCTGGCCCCTGGGCCTGGCACAGGGCACAGACAGTAAATGTTATATGAATGAATGAACTACAAAACTACCCTATGAGATGGAACATACTATCCTGCTTCATACATTGATAAACTGAGGCTTAGAGAGGTTCAATCATTTGCCCAAAGTCT